TTATATTATTTTTTAAATTTTTTAAATTTATAAAATAAAAAACAATTAAACTGCATGTTCTTAGCGAAAAAAAAAAAAAAAAACGAGTGTCTCCATAACTATAGCTGTAATTTAACCAGTGGTTTAGTCGAAAGAAAACTTTAAAATGGAGAATCAAGGAATTGAAAAATGGAAATATTAGAAGAAATGTCGGATGCGGGTAAACGAAAGAAAAGTAAAACGCAAAAGCAGGAGTGCAGACTGCAGAGTGCAGAGGTCGTCTCGGTCTTCTTCCTGGTAGGTGACTGAGGTGACAAAGACACAACACAACACTAGGGCTAGTCTTCAACTCTTTATTATAAAATAAATCGTCCCAAGTTACAAAGCTATCTTTGTCCGCGGGAACTAAGATGATGAAGAAGGCTAGCTTCAACTCAAAACTCAAGCTCTCTCTCCCTCCTCCCGAATCCTTGACCAAATTCCTGTAATTTCTACTCTTCCTCTTCATTCACGCACATAGCGCATCTGGGTTTTTTTTTTGCCTGTGTTTTCTTGGGTTGATTTTGGGGATGTCTTTGTTGCAGAACTGAAAGCGGGACCTTCCAGGTGGGTGATCTGCTGGTCAATAAGGATGGAGTACGAATTGTCTCTGAAAGTGAAACTGAAGTTGTAAGTTATCTCCGATCACTGTTCATCGTTATTTTCTAGTAAAAGTTTCGATTTTTTTTGTTTATTCAGTAAGCCCGCTTGACCAAAGTAAAATAGGAAAAAAAAAAAATCAGTTGAGTTGATTCTAAGGGTTTAAGAATTTGATGAAGTTGTTGGGAAACCGAGTTGTGAGTCATTTTTGGGGGAATTTGATATCTCAATAAGTAAATTACTACCTCAGGGGCGGGTTTTAATTTGTTGTATGTGTGTGTCTTTGATTTCAGCCACCCCCAATTAAGCCCTCAGATAACCAGTTGAGTTTGGAAGACATGGACGTAATTAAAGTGGTGGGGAAGGGAAATGGTGGAGTTGTGCAATTGGTGCAACACAAATGGACTAGTCAGTTTTTTGCATTGAAGGTATTATTTTGCTTAACACTTTCTATATTCTGTTCAGATGCTGCTCCAATGTGAATGGTTGTGCCATCCAAAAAAAAACCCTTTTCTTAATATACATAGAAGTTACAGCTCTATATCTTTCTGTAGTTCGTGCTTCATCTTAAGTGCTGAGACCGTGTGATGTCTTCTCATTTCAGGTCATTCAAATGAACATTGAGGAGCAAGCACGAACTGCACTGGCACAGGAATTGAAAATAAATCAATCCTCTCAGTGTCCATATGTTGTTGTGTGCTACCAGTCTTTCTATAAAAATGGTGTTATTTCTATCGTCTTGGAGTATATGGATGGAGGATCCCTGTTAGATTTTCTGAAAAAAGTAAAAACGATTCCTGAACCATATCTTGCTGCAATATGTAAGCAGGTTGGTACTTATGAGTTATGAAAGGTGAATTGATTATAATAAATACCATTTGCTTTGATATGGAAAAGTGATTATTTGTCTTTTGTATTTTTCTCAAAATTAATTCAGGTTCTTAAAGGATTGGCTTATCTTCATCGGGAAAAACACATTATCCACAGAGACTTAAAACCTTCTAATTTGTTGATAAACCATAGAGGTGAAGTCAAGATCACTGATTTTGGTGTAAGTCGTATACTGACAAGCACATTTGGACAGGCTAACACTTTTGTTGGCACATACAACTATATGTCTGTAAGTAATTCACTGGACATATGATGCAAAATATTATTTTCTACATTTTCATTAATGCTTTGTTCTTTCTACAAGTGCTCGAGTGCATCTTTTCTGTTCAGTTTAAAACTTATTAGTTTGGTTATGTCTGTTCATTTTTAGCCAGAGAGAATTAGTGGAGGCAAGTATGACAGCAAAAGTGACATTTGGAGCCTGGGGGTAGTTCTGCTCGAGTGTGCAACTGGTCAATTTCCATATTCCCCACCAGAGGAAGAAGGATGGACTAATTTTTATGAGCTTATGGTAGCAGTTGTCGACCAACCACCACCTTGTGCACCTTCTGATCAATTTTCTCCACAGTTTTGCTCGTTTATCTCAGCATGGTAAGGCTACATTTTTCATGATGTACTTGATGCATACTATTCTTCTAGAATCATCATGCTCCAAATTTCAGTGCAAGAGTGATGCTTGTGTACTTGTATTAATAGTACTATTTTCTTTCTAGTCTAGCATTCGAGGTTGCATGAGGAAATTGTCTTCTGCCTTGTTTTTGTTTGTAACAATTCTTACCCTCTCTTCCCAAAAATGATGGAAATATTGATCCATGAAGAACTTGGTGTCATTTTCTTTTTCATGTTCATATATGTTATTGCCCATTATGTTGTATAAAGTTATACTATATATTTTAAAGCTCAAAGAACATAATCATTTCATAACTCCAATTCTTAACCTCTTCTGATATTTCAGAGGCAGCAAATGCTGCCAACTTCGTTTTGAAACTTGAATATGTTGGAATTCTTTGACCTAAGGAGGTTACTAATCCTATATTTGGGTTCAATTGTCTATTTCAGTGTACAGAAGGATCCAAAGGTCAGGCAGTCAGCACTCAAACTTTTGGTATGTAAAACATCTGACATTGTTTTTGTCCTGTTTTATCTTTCAAGTAGCACAAATCAATTAGAATACATGCTAAACTGATGGTCTAATATGATTTTTATTTTAATTTCAATGTGAAACACAGGAACATCCTTTTGTGAACATGTACGATGACTTGGATGTGGACCTGTCATCCTACTTCACCGACGTTGGATCTCCACTTGCTTCCCTTTAGAGCTTATTTGGTAGGCCTACTTGCATGGATGGTTGTCTTACTTTTCTTGCGTCAACCCCTTCTAGAGTTACTCCAATACAATTTTAGGAGTTTCCCTTTTCAATTGAAATTCCAGTCATCTGCTTTGATGTAGCATCAATACTAAGATCTTGTCCACTAAGCTGTTCAAGAATTTGTTCTTAATGTGATGAAATGGAATATTTTTTTCTCTTTCCTTTTATTTTTGTAGCTGAAACATAATTTTAGTCCACATTTCCTTCTCCAAATTTCATTTTAATGCAAGAAATGCTTGTTTTTGTAAACCAAAAAGGATGTTAAAAAAGGGGGGAAATTGTAAGGATGATGAAACTTGTGAGAAATTCTTAGAAATATGAAGTTTTATGTCAAATGATGCAAGCTACACAATTAGCTAAATTCAATAAATAGTTTATTAACCATGTGATTTATTTCAGTTTAGTTTAGAAGCAATTTTTCCTTTAAACTATCAATTTTGTTTCAACATGATTTACTGTACAAACGCTCCCTTAACTAGACTAACGGACTAACGGACTAACGGAAATCTTTCCCGTTGTTATGTCTACCCTTAAACTTTTGAAAAATATTAATTATGGTACATATATTTTTGTTTTTT